AGTAGGGAGAGGGTTGTGTTGGGAGAGGGTTGTGTACTGTGAAGGTGGTGGGGAGAGTGTACTGTGAGGGTGGTGGGGAGAGAGCAGTAGGGAGAGGGTTGTGTACTGTGAGGGTGGTGGGGAGAGAGCAGTAGGGAGAGGGTTGTGTACTGTGAGGGTGGTGGGGAGAGAGCAGTAGGGAGAGGGTTGTTAGAGAGAGAGAGAGCGGGAGATAGATAGAGAGATAGAGAGAGAGACAGAGAGGGAGTCAATGGTCAATGGTCAATGGTCAAAAGTCCATGGTCCATGGTCCATGGTCCATGGTCAATGGTCAATTTGAAATTTAGGAGGACCATCCAAGTTTCAAACTAGATGGTTCTGTGGACCATCTCTTTTTCTCTCCTTATTTCTACCCCTGCTACTAAAAGTATATTGTATGAGCAAGTTTTTTTTAGGGCAATTCCCTTATCAAAACGGGAAGGTCTTTTCCTCATTTTTCCTAGACCCTTTATTTTTTCAGTCTACCTGAGCACTATCACTATCAGCTATGGTGTGTACATCTACACGTTTCTGTTCTGTGTCAACATCTTCTGTTTGGCTACTATTAACTTTTAAGTATACATTCACACCTGAAATATGTCAACGACAGCAAGTGATTAAGAAAGTGGTCATGGCAAACTAGGACATAGCAATCCCTTACCAACCATGGATTTTCAACCCATTCGTTCTAAATCTAAGTATCTGACAATATGTAACACCAACCACGGCAGGAATATTTGGTATCTTAATCTTTTAGACTGGGTTGCTTGGTTTCCGTATAAAATATGCTGATAAAGGACGCTGGCAGTCTCCTGACACCCACATGATGATGACTGTAAACACTGCATGCAGTGTGTAGTGTCTTATTGTATTAGAAGGAGAGTGAGTTGAACAGAAGGTAGAGAAGTGGATGATGATGGAGAATCTGGAGGATGGATGGATGGATGTAAGTGGAGGAAGGTAAGGTAGAGGTCGTAGAAGAGAGAGAGAGAGAGAGAGAAGGTGTTAGAGGTAGAGGAAGGGGGTGATGGAAGAGGCCGAAGCCAGGTGTAGAGGTCATGTATATATATGTATGAGGACGTATGTCTGTGCCTGCGTGGGTACTTGAATGTGTGTGATTGCATTATAGCTGGGAGCCATTGCCTTCAGAAACAGGCGTGATACATACACACTGTTCTCCTTATCCTATCTATATAAAATCTTTGTATATGTCGCCATATGTTTGTCCCTGGTCGATTTGAATCGTTGGTAAAAAGTGCATGGTCTAATAAACGTTAAATAATAAATTATGGCTAGTTTTATTATAGTAAAGGCATAAAATGATGGTCCGACGCTCGTCTGTCTGAATTATGTTAGCTATCATCTATATATATGTAGGCTACTGTAGCTTACTGTAACACACATTCGCCATAGCAAAGCTTAAATTCAAAAGTAGTATTACTTTTGTAAGATGCTATTGAAACGTTGTGAAATTAGCAACAATAAGAATACTTACGAGTTAAATTTTTAAAAAGATGTTTAAATGTATTTTCCAATGCAGACGAGTCCACAGGTAAAATATCTCCAGGGTTATCCAGATGCTGCTATCCACTGAAGTAATTAACGGCGTATATATATGTGTTCCATCCAGATTTTAGGTGGTAATTTTAATCACTGTGGTGTGTATTGATGTAATATATTTAATCTTTCTCTACTTGACAATAATGTCTTAAATGATTAGTCCCCATGCATCACTTTTACACGCCATGAATCGTCATTCTAATCGTTATTTTGTCACATACTCCACCGCTGTAACCTTAATACACCTTCCTCTACCTCAACTGCTTCATCCCCCGTTTACCCCACAGCTGCCTTACTCACCATACATTTGCGCCCATGTATTTTGATTGTACTACACTTCTCATGTGAGATGTTCTCTCTCTTCTACAGATCCGCATGAAGTGTTATATGGTAAAGGCTCAGATTCTGTAGATCAGCAGTCGGGTGATGTGTCGGACTGCAGCAGCAAAGCCCATTCTACGTCTAGAGAAGCTGCCGTTAGCAGTGGTGCTGTGCATGGTGAGTGCTACAACACAGACGTACTTGCTAGAGAGCTGACAGAACAGAGAGTTTGAACACTGTGTACTGTAAAGGTGGTGGGGAGGGAGCAGTAGGGAGGTGGTTGTGTATGTGAAGGTGGTGGGGAGGGAGCAGTAGGGAGAGGGTTGTGTACTGTGAGGGTGGTGGGGAGAGAGCAGTAGGGAGAGGGTTGTGTACTGTGAAGGTGGTGGGGAGAGAGCAGTAGGGAGAGGGTTGTGTACTGTGAAGGTGGTGGGGAGAGAGCAGTAGGGAGAGGGTTATGTACTGTGAAGGTGGTGGGAAGAGAGCAGTAGGGAGAGGGTTATGTACTGTGAAGGTGGTGGGAAGAGAGCAATAGGGAGAGGGTTGTGTACTGTAAAGGTGGTGGGGAGGGAGCAGTAGGGAGAGGGTTGTGTACTGTGATAACTCATTAAATTGTCAGTTATAGTCAGGAGAATGGGGTATACTTAGAATTGTATTACATTTGTGGTGATCCGGATCCAATTAATAATTAATAATTAATTATAAATTTTCAGGATTAGTTCCAGAAATGGGGCTAAGCTTAGAATTGAGATGACATTTTGGTGATGATCGCCGAATCCAATTCAATTATTGTAATTAATAAATTAACTAATAAGAAGTTCAGTGAGAGAAATGAGCTCTGGCGGACCCGTCCTGTGCTCTCCGAGTCCCCACCCTCTCCCATTGTTTAGCCTATCAAACACCACGGCGCACACACGAGGCAAGCGCACGCACGCACGCACGCCGCGCACACACGAGTGAGAGAAACGTACAAGACGTTACCGATAGGTGAAGTCTCGTCCAGGCGCTTTCGCTTTCTCCCTGGCTCTGGCCTATCTAGTCCGCTCGAGTCCTGGCCTGGCTTCCTTGCCCTGACATGTGCAGACAGAGATGGAGACGAGAGGATGCACAGTTTGAAAACTCGGCCGTCGCCCATAGCGTGACAGTATATAAATATCTTATTCAATCGAGGCCAGCCTGCTGCGCACGATAAACCGGAGCGAGAGAGAGCGAAGAGAGGGAGATAAGAGAGAGAGCGAAGGCACTGCAGCAACGTAGTATAGCTGTAAGCGTGCAGCTCCAGAGCAGCTGCTTGAGATCAAAAGTGCAGTACAACAGCCAGACATAGCGCTGAGGAAGGAGAGAGCCACCGCTGGCTTGTCCTGTATGCGGATGGCTGAAGCATAGAGCACATGTGACAGCGGCCCGGCTGAGAGCTAAGTTGCAAACGTGCATTTGTCTACGCAAGCGCGGCAGTGCGGTGCCAAATTTGCATCACTCTCGGCATCTACTGAGACAACAGCGGCGCAAGACGACTGGCTTAACGAGAGAGAGAGGAGAAAGAGACGCAGCGATGGAGACAGAGAGAGGAGAGAGAGAGAGAGGAGAGAGAGAGCTAGGTAACATCAGTTTTTCCTCATGGAAAGCGCCATATCTAAAGAGTTGCAGTACGTATCGTGCTTTCTGTCGTCACGCGTTGAGAACCGACCAGAGCGAATAGAAAGATTTAAGATATTAGCCGACATGATATTGTTAAAAATCCCTGCTGAAGTGTGCTGGGCCACCTTACGTTAGTAACTAAATTGTGCAGTCTAAGTGAGCGTCTCGGCACGTCAAACATGAGCGGGGCGTCACGTTACAAGACGAAACGATCCACTGACGCACTCCTAGCGCTCGCTGTATGCTTCGTATACAAATACACTGATTTATTATGACAAATACTAATGATTTAGTATCGACAAATTCTACTGATTCGATGACAAATTCTACTGCTTTAGGATACAAATACACTGATTAGTACTGACAAATACTAGTCTGAATTAGGTTATGGACACAGAAATTCCTACTGATTGAGAGTATCCACACTACTACGATTTCAATATATGCGCAACTACAAATTACATGTACCGTCTTATATAGCAGTAACATAGTATAACATAAATAATTAATTCACC